TCTCCTGTCGTGGTAAACAGGTTTAGGTAATATTTAGCAAGGCTGTTTAGCCACGCTGCTCTGAGCGGATGATCTTCTGACATCAGGCTCAAAGCTTCCTCGGTGTTACGGATGGCCTCTTCTAGATCGTCAAGATCTCCTGTATATTCGTATCGATCACCCAACTGGTTGCCCAGAATATTCAGATAGTCTGATCTCTCGGAATGACCCAAGGGCATTATATTCAATGCTTTCCTCTCAAGCTCGATAGCCTCATCAACATCATCCAGATCTCCTATTCTTGAAAACCGGTCGCCCAACTTAATTGCAAGGTTGTACAGTCGTTCAGGGTTGTCAGGCTCCAGGTCTAATGACTTTTTGGCGCAATCAATGGCTTCGTCAATGTCAGCAACATCTTCAGTTCGTAGATACCTGTCACCGAGACGATTCCCCAGATTTGTCAAAATCGGACCTTGCTCGTCTCCAGTGGGTGTCAACTCAAGAGCTTTCCTTTCCAGCCGAATTGCCTCTTCTAGGTCGGCAAGTCCTTCGGTCTTCAGATACTGGCAGCCGAACAATCGCCCTAGACAATGCAGCCACCTGGACTTCCAGCGGCTTTCGGGAATCAGGGCGAGTGCGTCGGTTGCAACCAGAAACGCCTTTTCAAGGTAGGCTTCATCTTCGGTTCTCTCATGGAGAATGCAAAGGTGATTCGCCCGCGTTATCATCCATCCAACTTTTTCTTCTTCGGTGACTGATGAATTCGTTATCTGTGCGTGGAGCTGAACGCATTCTTCCAGATCCCGTAGCTCTCCAATCCATCTATACCGATCGTAAAGAGTTTGGATCAAATTCTTCAGCGCGTCTTCGTTCCCAGGTTTTAATTCAACGACCTGTCGCATGATCTGGATACTCTCATTCAAGTCCAAGATTGCTCCTGTGATGTCTGACCGTTTGTTGAGCTTCGCGCCCAAAGCAGTAAGCCTGACAGCCATCTGCATACTGCTAGCAGAGTCCATTGCCTCAAGTGACAGCCTGTGGTAGTGAATTATCTGATCAAAGTCGGCCAAATCTTGCGTCTCCTCATATTTTTCTTCGAATAGAAACTCAAGTCGTCTGAGGAACACTATCTTTCGGGGATCGCTCCCTGGTGTTAGGCTCAATGCCTGTATCCCCAGCTCAATGGCTTCGTTCATGTCATTGAGATCTTCTGTTTCCGCAAATCGATCGCTGAGCTCATTACTAAGTAGATGTGACTGAAGAGCCTTGTTTTGGTGATCGTGGGGTGGAATTAAGGCAAGTATTTTTCTTCGCACGTCAAGGGATTTGTGGAGATATTGTACATCGCCGGTAGCTGCAAATTGTTCTTTGAGTTGCTTGATGAGATCATTCAATTCGGACAGCCTTGCTTCTTCATTATCTAGGCCATCCTCGAACTTCTCCCTTGGGATACTGGTTGTTTGGATAGGTTCCATTGTCTGGTGTACATCAGCGCGAAGGCATCGGGCTACAGTGGAGGTAATACAGTGCGCTTACAATTTCTGCGGAAGGGATTGTGATACCTCAGAGACCTGTTCGTCAAGATCAAACTTGATGTTTTAGCTACATTTAAAGTTCGTTAGACGTTCTGCTAATTCAATTACTTAGATATTTAATTGCATAACTATACATAGAAGGCTTGGAGGCGTTGTGACAAGAATCTAGGCAGCCAGGCTACTCGCTACGTACATGTGCATTCGAGGTATCACAGACGCAGCAGTAGTTCAATCACATTATCCTGGCGAAAATCAACTATGCACATTTTAGGCTTACTACAAGCTTGGTCAGCCAGCCACTGGCTTTCACTTTATGATAGACAAGGATGATTGTGGAAAACAAGGCCTCCAAACAGGCAGCAGCCAAAAGATGGCGAATCGTTGTTGTGTCTCAGCAGTGGTGTAACCTCCTGTAGAATCTCATCACCACTCACAGGTAGTTGCCTTCTCTCCCAGCATTCCGATAAGGAGGGAAGCACATTAGTCGCTGATTCGACGCAGAAATCTCACCAACCAACCAACGATTCTAATAGGTGGAAAAAATGCTCACGGTGCATCAAAGCTGCCTGTCTATTGCTACATGACGGCTCGCTTAGAACCTCCCGGCGATGTGTCGCCTATTCTTTGGTAGGCCTACTGGGTCGCAAGACGGTTGAGCCGCATTCGCTGCCCAGCTTCTAAAATCCGAGCGCTTGGGCTCAGCCTCCACTACTTTAAATCTTGGATCTACTGCTAGTACTGTATAGGAATAAGCAGGTAGCTACCTCAATTGGTCCTCGTCTCTTAGCAGCAGCGAATCTGTTTGAGTTTGCCTCCACCACATTCACGATGAAGGATTCGTCAGAGGATCAAAAGGCTCCAATCGAGTCAAGGTATGCTATGTTTCTCAATATATGATGGCGCCACTGATCGTCGCATAGTCAACAGGATGCGCCTGAAGTGGAGGTGATTGATGGGGGTCGTCCAACCATTAGAACCTTCGCTACGGTAAGTTTCTGCGGCAAGAGGCCTCTACCTGGCTAATATCCTTTAGACCGCGAAGCTCAGGCCAAATGACATGGTCAGGGTACTCTCAAATGGATCAACATATACAGTTTCAGAAGTGAGAGGAGGAAAGTATATCCTTTGCGATGATAGTGGCAAGGAGGTTATGCAAGGGCGTGAGTATGATGAGAGTGAGTTGGAATTGGTAGATGATCCTTTCTAAAGCCTCATCTGATCCGGAACCATGAGTATCCATATGCTAGTTGACAGAGGTCCAGACTATGAAATTGTGCGACATCCACGCTCCCTTACTTCCTGTACTCCTCATCCTTCCCCCAGTATCCAAGTGCTTGATAAAGTCGGAGATTATCTCTGCACTCACAGACGAACTCCTCAAGCTTACGTTCATACCCAATCCTGGCAAAACCATACCCGGAAATGAAACTGGTTTGTCAGTGATGAAGACTTTGATGACATCTCGAGCCTGAGTCCCCAGATTAAGATGACCTGGAATCGTCATTTTCAGATTTATTTCCTTCGCGCCGCGGTTCTGGCAATGGGCTGATGGTGGCACGAGGACATAATCATCGCCTCCAGAACCGGAGACAAGATTTTTCACACCCCAAGAAGGATCAAAGTCAAAGATGGCCATGTAGAGAGGGTGATTTGTATGGTTCTCGATGGTGAATCCAAAAGTCCCCCCATCCACAACTTTGAAAACACCATTTGAAGTGGAGGCCACAATAGGCTTGATGTTGTACTTAGATCTAAACTTCGGAGACGGAAGTACATTAACTAGGCCTTCGAAGTATTTGAAAGTGGCAACATGCTGAAGAGTCTCCATCATCTTCGGAAAGGAATCGTCTGACCCATCGTCGAGGGTCGGTAGTTGAAGCATATTTTCTTGCGCTTCACCAACAATTTCGTATGCCCTAGACTTGTTAACTATTAGTCGAAACATACAAAGGTCTTTTTCTTCGGTTTCTGTAAGTATTTGGAAGTGCTTTAACACTTTCGACTTATGTTCCCACTTCTTCTCACGTATCAACTCCTCCGGAAGCCAAGCATTGATCTGGTGGGAAGAAACTGTTGATAGTTGTGTGGCCTTTAAAGTCACTAGATCCTTGGTGCTGAATGGGGAGACTGTGGACAGTGTCCGAACTCCACACGACATTGTCAACTCGGACTCAAAGGCCCAAACGTTTGAGACCATGAATCTGAAGCTGCGTTTTGCGCCAGGACTTCTAGTTGAACCAGTTGAAAGACTATTCTGAACAGTGAACTCGTCTCCAATTGAGATTCCATGGACCTGCCCTGCTTTAATGAAGATCCTCGAACCTTCTATCTTGTATATTGGTAAGGCGGTGAGAGATTCTGTCTGAAGTAGCGAACCGAAGAATGAACGGAGAGTGTTGCCGTAGCGCATTGGAGTCTGGCTGCACCCTGACGCCTGCATCAGAGAAACAACCGTTTCATGGAGTGATTGGTGCGACACAGCCTCTTTCACCTTTGCCAAAGTAGTAAGAGCTCTGAGAAGGTGATGCGTCAGTGCGCCTCGTTTCTGGGTCTTGTTGACAAGAACTTCCATGGCCTTTTCGTGGGGACCGCAAGCAGTAATAATCGTGTAACCCTCGGGATTGACAAGCCAGTCTCTGTCAATTTTGGCATCCCGCCCGGGAATTCCCAGTGCGTCTCTGCATTCTCGTTCCTGCTCCACTCTGTCCGCGTCGAGCGATGGATCGTATTTCATAGCCCGGACTCGGTCGCCTCGAGTCACGGCACCTGAAAAACAGCAGTCCAACGCGACTGTGACAATGAGGCCGTTGCCGACCATTCTTTTGAGAGCCTGGGCTAGATAGCGCCCGCGAAAGTAGCTGGCTCCGTGCTCGCCATCTTCGTAAAGGACGAGACCTAGCTCGCCGAAGCCAGTTTCGCCGACGTTGCCATCCGATGGGAGCTGAGTACCGTGCCCGGAGAAATGAATGTAGACATGATCTCCAGCCTTCGCAGAATCAATGATTATCCGAAGTTGCTTCAGAACATTTGCCCGGGTTGGCCTGTTCTCAGGTGTCTCTGGTGGATCTTTGGTGGACTGATGATCCTTCGCTAGCTTCGGTACAGTGGCTGTGAGCACGGATGCATGAATAGCCGTAGCGCTGTGCTGTTCCAGATAGGCCCTGACGTCGCTAACGTCGTCAACACTGCCGTGTAGATGTCGATCATTGGGGTAATAGTTGATTCCAATCATTAGCGCCCAGCGCGCCGAACATTCTTGAGTGGCTGCCATTAAAAGAATTGCAAAGGATCGCAATAGCAGCGTAGTTATGTATGGTCTGATTATAAAGGACGAGAAGTTGGACTGTTGGATGATAAGCATTGCTGTTAATGCAAATCCCTGGTATTATTGGGGCTGAGCGCACGCCCAGCTGACGCCTCAGCGGGACAGCCGAGCCTATAAGCTTGGGGTCGCAAAGAGGCAGCTCGAGACACTAAAAAGTACAACTTCAATCACAAATGCACTTTCTCGCGGCGTTTCAACCTACTGAATAGGGTGAAAATTATTAGGATTCTCCAGCCGCTTCAACATTCTTCCAATATTAGAGTTACCAAAGTTTGGACGGCAATACAAGCTTTCCGAGGAAGAAGCACGATGTCTTCAACTACTTCCGATATCGAATTGGGCCAGTGCAACACCACGCCATTATCGAGGATAGGTACAAGCCGCAGAAACTGGAGGTTCGGGTGGCCAAATCTGGCCTGGCCATCATCAGACATCTCACTTCCTTTGTCACTGTTTTGGAACAAGAGTGCTCCGGTAATGCAATTACCGCAAAGTAAGCAAGGCTGTCAATGAATTTGCTTATAAGCGAGGCTAACAGCTGTCAAAGTCGAGGACTATCCTAAGGGATATCCCCAATTTTCGTCTTTAATATCTTCACATGAGTCCTTTTTCGTCGCACGAAGGTTTCTGAATGTTCGTGCTCGATTATTATTACTCAAACAAAATCGTGTTGTCGCACTTGAAAGCAAGCTGCACAAGATTGATAGGGACGAAGAAAGGCCATTGTTTCTCGGCAGTTCTCAGCGGGACCAGAATCAAGACAGAGCTCAAGTTGTTGCTGAGCTCGACGAAGCACTAGAGGATCTAGGTAAAATGTTTTTGACAGTTCTAGTGGTCTTAAAGTTGAACTAATAAGCCTAGACAAGTTCCTATTAAGAAGTCGACAGATTTCTGAACTCGAACAAGCCGATCCTCGAGCTGTAACGAATCTGCAGAACTGGGTCAATGGCACGGGTTCTATAGCACGAGCAGAAAGCAGGTTTTTGAACTATCCACCCGAGGAGCTCCTTAGCACCAGTCCACGGGATGAATCTGCCATGATAGGCCTTGAAAACAACGTGGCTGAGAATCTGCTTCGTGTGCGAGATTACTTTTTTCCGGTATATCCCTATGCAGTACCTGAATGATATTCCCACTTATACTTACGTAACTTACAGAGCTATTCTCCGAAGGTCTCACGAGACAGCGCTCATATTTATATCCCTACAAGGTCATCTACAGCTTTTATTTCTCGTGCTTTGATGACACCCATCATTGTCGTCGTGCTATTAGCCCCTGTCATTTTATGCTCCTACCTAAATAATACTTCATCGCGACTCTTTGCTGTTGGGGGTGCAACGGTATTCTTCGTTGCCATGATTTCTGGTGGTACAAGAATGAAGAGTCAAGAATTGATTATAGCTGGAGCTACGTAAGCAATACCTTGTGTCCTTCATGTACGTCCTACTGACCTTTATAGATACGCTACAGTACTTACTGTTTTCCTCTCAGAATCTTCGGTCTTGCCAGGGTGAAAGAGTCATTACTACAGTTGGTATGCCGTCTGAAGTGTGTTTTTGAGAGTGTCTTTTTGAGTTCATAGACCTTACAGCTGATGTTTGCATCGCCTGCCTTACCTCGCTATGGGACTAGAAGGCGGTGTCTGTTTTTGGAGGTGCAACACTGTACAATTGTCTGGAACAATTTCAACAATTAACTGTTGATCAGTATGGTTTCTGCACGCAGGCCACTGCCCAGTGCGAATGTTGCGAAGATAGAAAAAGGTGCTCATTTGCAGAGCCGCTATGGATGTTTCATATCGTACCTGTCATGAGATGAACATCCTTTATAGCAATAGATGACCTTCACAACGCACGATATCTTGCTCGCCACGCCGTTACGGCTACCAGCAAGGTTCAAGTCGCCACTGTACGACAGATGAAGTTCTTCGGCATCACCTTAGACCCTTTTATTACAAATCTCCATGTTGAGCAGACTGAACCCTTGGCTGGAAATGCCTGGCAAAGACGGCACGGAGAGTTCCGTGCTGGAAAGCGGGACCTGTCGTGCTAACTAGAAAGGTGTAGAAGCGGCGTAGAAACCGAAACCGAAAATCGAGACCCTCATAAACCCCACAACAATAAGATGCTGACACGTAAATACGCGCATCTAGCAACTTCACCTGAATTTCTCTCGGAGACTTTTTTCGATAAAAGATTGGACTATTTTCTCTCGGGACAATATTTAGGCCGTTTCGATATACAATCGAAATGCTGTAGACGTATGAAGCTTGCAAGTCAAAGCTTAAATGGGTCCCGGGTTCATGATAGACCCCGAGACCCGGGGAGTCTAACGATTAATAGAAATAGATGTTGATCCACCAGCATTACTAATGTAGGTCGAATGCCGAGGAAATGAGGTCATGTATATCATGCGAAAAGGCGAAATGTACTGCATAACGTTACTGTAATACTGTTTCAAGTGCCATCTATAAGAAGTGTTCGGTATCTATAGCTTAACTACAGAAGTTCGTCGTCAGGAGAAAACTCGCAAACGAGATAACACACAAATACAAACATCATGAAGGAAGCAATCGTCAAGAAAGACACATCCGTCGAGATCATCGACTCTCCGATTCCTAAGCCAGGCCCTGGTGACGTGCTCATCAAGGTTGTCATTGCAGGTAAGCCAAACCATCCCCTCGTCCTCTCATCATAAATATTAAGCCTTGAAGGCACCAACCCCAAGGATTGGAAGATCCCGATTTGGCTCGGCGAAGAAAACAACAGCGGTGACGACATCGCTGGTATCGTCGAAGCCGTAGGCGAAAATGTCGTCGGCTTCCACAAAGGCGACCGCGTAGCCGCATTCCATGAGATGAGAACTCCCCACGGTGCTTTTGCCGAGTACGCGACCGCGCCATACTACACAACTTTCCATATCCCCGATTCAGTGTCTTTTGAAGAGGCGGCTACCATTCCTCTCGCCGCGTACACTTCTGTCTGCGCTTTGTTCCAGGAGCTTGAGATCCCCGAGCCTTGGTCCCCGCTTGCCAAGACTGAGGCCAAGCGTCCTCTTCTCGTTTACGGAGCTAGTACCGCTACTGGAGCTTACGGTATCAAGCTCGCCGCAGCTGCAAATGTTCATCCGATCATCGCAGTTGGAAGCCAGCGCAGTGCATTTATCAAGCCATTCCTCGACGAGAGCAAGGGCGACGCTCTTGTTGACTACACCGCTTACAAGACTGAGGAAGAGCTGGTCAAGGCAATCCAAGAAGCTTTAAAGAAGGGGGGTGCTCCGGATGGTCGATGCTGGAAAGCCTTTGACAGTGTGTCTGAAGATTCAACCATCAGAACTGTTACCAAGGCCATCGCCGGTCCTCCAGACTCGACTGGCCGAAAGCCAAAGCTGACCAATATCTTGATGAAGACTGAAGTCGAGGGTGCTGACCCTAGCGTCGATGTTGTTGTCTCGAAGGTTAGCCATGTTCATGACAAGGATGAGAAGAACAAGCTCCTTGGTGTTGTATGGGGTGCAGCGTTTGCTAGGGGTCTTCGAGAGGGTTGGTTCACAGCCCATCCTTACGTCATTGGTAAGAACGGCCTAGAAGGTCTCTCTGAGGGTCTGAAGGGTTTGAAGGAGGGCAAGACACGAGCTCAGAAGTTCTTGACTGTTATTGGCGAGACACCAGGAGTCAGCGCTTAAGCTTGGAACAAGATGCCTGATGGTGCGTCTGTCTACAGTACATAATAGTCCCAGCAAAGTCTATAGTCTAATCTAACTTTTCAAGCGAGTCTATACGCCTTTTTATCTTCGTAAACCTTTCTCATCACACGTTTAATGGTATCGATAGCATAATGTGAAACGTTCGTTTCTGACGTTGTAAGAACGCTTTTAACCTGATCAGGCGTCCACATGAGATTCGTCGATGTCGAAAACGACGCAGTCTAGATCTTATCAGTATGCTTATTCGTATACAAATGGAAACTTACCGTAGGGTTGTAATCCGGGTTCAAGGCATTCGGCAGGAGCGGGCAGTAAATAATGTACATATCTTGCCCACTCTGTCTTCTTCCATAGAAGACCCTGGCGTAGTGATCTATGTATCGAGATTCGACTTCCGACGCGTGACTTGAAGATAAGGCTTTATTCCGCTGTGGGTTGTGGAACTCCCGTGTCACATCTCTCAGCTCAATGTCAAAGTCGGCGGCGAAGTGGTGAAGCCGCTGAACAGCTGCTCCGGTGTGGATATCTGAAGATGCATCGAAAGATAGGAAAACGTCGACACCCCGTTCTGGCCGAGCGAGGATATGATTGGGAAGATTATTCGCCATGCCTGAGTCCATGAGCCTTGTACGTCCTTGTGCTTCCCACGGTGGGAATGAATGCGACTGCAAGGCTACAGGATCGGAAACGGATTTGTCGCTGCTGTGCATCCCTCTTTGATGCCGATGAGACACCCGCGACAGGTACATAGAGTGCTCCGAGGTGTGCTCTCGCATCCCTGCAGGTCTTTCAAGTCCATAAAAAGGATTCGGGTCGTGGCCCGCACGAATCGGATTTCCCCAAAAGCCCTCAAAGTGCTTCGACTGAAGTAGGTTGTTGAAGAGGGTGACCAAGCGTGCCACCATTGTGTTCTTGGGTATAGTGACCAAGAGAGCTTTGATGCACTCTGCCAAAGGGCCCGCTGGAGCACTGGTACACTGGCCCAGCAAGAGCGAGAAGGACTGCTCAGGACGACGATCCACGGAATACCCAGAAATGAAGGTTCGCCCCCATGCCCAAGTTGGGACGTAACGGTTGAGGTCCGGACTACCGACTTCGAGAGGTGAGATTTCGAAATACTGGAAGAGCTTCTTAGACCGTCTGTTCGGAGATACTGTTGAATTTGCTTGATCATTTCCTTCGACGGTGTCAAGCTGTCGAGATGTTGGCTGTTTCTTGACATCCCTGGCCTTGGCGGAGATTGTCTTTGGCTCATATGAATACTTCGGCACGCGCCTCACGGCTGCGAGAAGCGGCATTGGCTCCAGTCCCTTATCGATACCCGATCGATGCCAGATCTTGGACCACTGAAATGTCGCTCTGCTCAGTCTTCCCTTTGGCTCTCTTGACAGGAGTTGATATGTTGCCGTAAGAGTCGAGTAAAGATCCATGATTCCCAGCCCAATGATGCTCTTCTGCGCTTTACTGACCAGAGGGCCTATCAGAAAGTAGACGCCTCTCTTGCTTCGTGCAACCATATTCAGGGCGTGGATACTCATGGGGTGCGCAAGCTCACTAGCCACTGTGAGATAATGATCGATCAACCGTTGTATGTCATGTCGAGCGATGGTATAGTAAGCCGCAAGAGTCCAGCAACTTCCACTAACGCCGGCAGTCCAGGTAATACAATCCCATAGTCCATGCTTCTTGGCAGCTGAAATGAACCCGACAAAGCCGTACATCACCTTGTAACCCCCACCTGAGCCGCCCAGCGCGATGAGCGGCACATCTCTGAGGTCAACCTTCTCATCAGGTGAGAGGTCTAGGAAGCGATGTAACGAATCTTCTCCTTGTGATGAAATTCTCAACTTCCGAAGCCCAATGAACTTTTGTTCTTCATGATGTAGAGAGGAGCCATGTCGGACATGAGCATCCCATTTGAGCTCAGGGTATGTTGCGAAGTCCGTCTCGTCCCTCTGCAGGAGTGTCTTGACAGATGCCAAGTCGACAGCTCTTTGATACCATCTTTCAACGATACCCCTAGTTTTCTGAGAAAATGAGATTTTTGCTGGTGAAGTCGCTAAATGACGAGAATTTGTATCGCTCTTCTCTTGTATTGTAGGAAACGAAACCACAACTCGGCCGTTCCGAAAACGTGTTCTTGTATGAGTTACACGTACCCTCGATGAAACAGGCGTCGCTTGGACGAGAGAGACCAATGAGCAAAGACAATATGTTTTTGCATATAAATAAGCTGGTGACTTTCGAACTGAAGTCAAAATGACCATTTTTCCAGCCTTCAAAGGCGCATGTTGAGGGTGTGAAAGAAGTTGAGGTTTGTAAACAACGCATCTTAAATCGTTGGCGTCATTGCTGACTGATGCCGCTAGCTCCGGCAGCCAAAGAGCGCTACCACGTGGGCGTTAACCTCCTCTAACGTTTGAAGGGGCCAACCAGAGAACGGTAAATGCAGGGTAGGTTTGATATTTTCTGCTTACTTAAATTACCGACAAGGTGGGAGCAATAAAAGGGTATCGGTTCAAGAATAATACAGTAGTGAATTGCTGATCTATAGTGACATTTCTTGATGCATCTTATCGAGACATGGTTCGAATTCACTACTGACCAATACTCTCGCTCTCCACCGAAGCACTCCTATCACACCTCTGCATAATTCACAAATCGATCATCCCCAGCTCCCAACATATCCCAACAACTTAGAATACATATGAACATCTAGAACTTAAACTCCCATGCATATGTAGTCACATCATCAGTCTGGTAGAACGGCAAGGTAACCTGACCATTGCTAATAGTGTGGCCATAGTTACCCAAATCCTGAGGAGGGCCCATCTGGCTGTAGTGCACGTCACTGCCCACAGCGAATTTCCAGGTCCTGACCTGAAGCGTTCCAGAAGACGGGAGACCCAACTTTGCCAAGCCGGAGAATATCACATCATAAGTACCAGTGGTAGGCGGATGGCAGCCAAGCAATACTCTAGCGGTACGCGCTGTAGTATCCACCGTCGCATAAGCATCAAGCCGACCGTCAGAAGACACAGAAGTCGAAACGCGCTGGCCCGTCATGTTGTGTGAGTAGTAATTATACACCCACCAGTCTCCGTTGGCAAAGTACCCTGTAGAAGCGTAGTTCGAGGGATTAGGCTTGGAGAGAAGACTGGCAGCCAAGTCGTGAAGCTGTGTGCCTCCTAGCCAATTGCCACGAAGACCGATAGCATTACGGCGTTCGAGCTGAGAGATCCAGAATGCAGATCCGGCGGGGACTTGCTCGTTGAATGTGGCGTACTCGTTGATGTTGATTTGGCGTTGGGGAAGACCGTATTTAGTGAGTATCTGTTGCAAGACGCCGTAGCTGTACTCGAAGTTGGAGCCTGAACCACCCTCCTCGTGCCATACATATTGGTCGGGGACGGAATTATTGTTCTTGACGAATTGAGCCCATTGTGTCCACCAGGAATTGGTTGTTCCTGGTTGGTTGGCGAGAGTTGGTCCGGACGTCAACACGTTCTTCCCAAAAGCATCACTGAATAGCCAGTCAGTCCATGTCTTGTCTGATCCTCAGAGGTAACTCGACACTTACTTGAATTGATGCCAGCCGCGACCCCACATCTGAAGCCACTGGTCAATGCTCCGTCCCCAGAAGCACCCCCCCTCCGGCTCGTTCCATATATCAATGACCAAGCCTTCCTGCATGTTGTATTTCTTGACATTTGCAATGATAGCCTGGACGAATTTGTCATAAGACGACCAATCGCCATTATCACCTGGACCCGGTGACGTATTGTTATTAGAAGAGCAATCAAAGCCCCAGAGGTCATTCAGCAACAATACAAAGCCACCATTGTGACGACGCGTGACGATATAGTTGTTATGAGCGCTAGTAAAGCGCTGCTGGAAGCTAGCCTCATTATAACTCCATCCATGGGAGACTTGGGCACCTGCACCTCGGTAATAGTTAAAACCGAAGCCAGAGAGAAGACTGTCTGGAATCTGGTTCGTGTTGTCGGGTATGCCGTACAGAATACCTGCGGCGAGATGCTGAGGTACACCGGTGGTGGAGGAGAAGTCAATCTTGGGGCCGGCACTGTCAGCAGCTACGGTGCAGACAGCGGCGAGGACTGAGCAGGCCTTGATAATCCACATTGTTGAGAAGTGCTCAAAGAAGAATGCTTGAATGGATACTATTCCACGACAATGACTACAGTCAACGCCCTCCTTTATATAATACGGTCCATCCTCATGATCTACGTACATTTCCTGGAGAACCCAGCAATGTTACGCTGGCTAAAAGGTACGGCAGCGGATAACCGGCAATTGAGATCCTGGTAATACGGAAGCTGTTCTTATGACCTGTTTGCGGGGAAGATCTGCCGATTTGTTTATGGCAAGGACGCAAGGCTCACACCGTCAAAGCGGCCAAACCATGCCTTTTGAATAAGTCCGGTGGGAGTTCCGGTGGGAGAGAGCTTCCAAGGAGCTTCTGTAATTTACTTTTCTGGTTTTGATGACCTCTCATTGAAACGCTTATATCTATCAACCTTACCCCAAACTAACCATTCAGCCTGATTATACAAGAAACTCGACTCATTTCTTAGGCACTGTGACCGGTATGCATAACACCCTGGTCACATCCCTGCATAATCCGGAGAACCTTGGTGAAACGTTGATCCCTTGATGCATCTTTTGGAGGCATTGCTCTTTGTCCGCCCCGTTTCTGATGTTTGGAGTTTGCGGTCATTAGCAAACGAAAGCCCCGACGCCGCACGCACGTCCACAATTGGAATACGGTGTTATTTCTGATGCACTGTACAGATAAATCATTTTGAGATGTTGACAAAATTTACACAAATTTGACAATTGTGATATGCAAATCTTTCGAGCCCAGGCCGCTTCCAACTTTGTAACTCCCCGAGCAAAGAGTCTTCATTTACCCATGAGAGCACGGCAAGATAACTTACAAATCTTATTTTAATTTTTACACCCGCTTCGGTTGTATATAGATACACGAACTGCAGTCGATGCGTCGACATCAGCTGATTTGTTCCATGCACTGTTGGCTCCTGAAAGACCAACATGTGATTGGTGCCTTTTGTTGATAACACATAAACACTCCAGCCACTTAACAACGCCAATGTGTCGCAAGAAAGGTGTAAAATTGTGGTACCTGCTGCATATTTGTGACATCAGGTTTGCTTCGAGGTGAGCTAGTCATACGTCATGTCCCCAGTTACGTCATCCAGGACCAACATCCACCACCAGAATATAAACTCACCATCTAGCCAAGCCTCGACATGGTAGTCATCTAAAACACAAATTCTCACCTCAAATAAACCAAAATGTCGAAACTCGTTGAAGACGTCAAGTCAGGCCTAAAAGGCATCCGTGGAGCCGGCGACGCTCTACGAGGCGAAGTCCTCGACGCAACAGACCAAGCCTTCGACACCAACCCGCAACACCCCGAGACTCTCAAAGACCGCGTCGACAACAGAACCATTGCTGAGAAGGGAAAGCAAGAGATGCACGGCGCTGATAACATGATTGCTCGTCGCGAATGGGAGCACAAGGGCGTTGAGCCACCTGCGCATGTTGGACGAAGGGAGAATGAGAAGCCATTGGCGACGCAGACAGAACCTCTTTCCAGAACGGCGGCGCATGATAGACCTAATGAGGGGTTGAGTAGGGAGCCAGAGATGGGGCATTTCGGGAGTAGAGGAACGGAGGGCGGTGTCGTGAAGGACCCTGATGCGAATCTGCCTAGATATGCTTAAACCTGAAATGTAAAGGCCGTCTGGGTAAGATATCATGATCTTTTACCGGCTCTATCTACAGCACTGACTCTTGATCCAGCATTTCGCCACTACGCTCCTTGGTTAATGATACCCGTTCAGAGAGGCATGAGGACTGTTAGTTCGTAAGGTAGCTCACATCATCTCACGATACTGAGTTGAGTGGAACTCTTTTGACTGTGTTGAATTGATATATCTCATTAAGATATCATAAGCTTTAAGTATCAATGGATCAGTCATGGTTGGCTAAAGGAATAAACACAAGGATTTTGTATCAGATAGTTACCAAGTGTTTAGATGGATCTGTCAACTAGAATATCATTGCCTGATATATCTCTGTATGGCTGATATATATGGCGCTCTCTATTTAAATGTATGATTTAGCAGCACCTTCATACAGGCCCCCAAAAGCCCCATACCACGTATCAATAGCCTTGGCTGCCATACCCGCCCCGATCGTATCATCACCCCTCTCAAACTTGGGCACGATCTCTCCCATAAACTCCTCCATCGTCAATGTATGCGGCGCATGTTCCTTCTTATTATCGTCAGGATTCTCCCTCTCACGATGAAGATTCGACTCCACCATCGGAGGGGCAATCTCAACAACGCGGATCTTGGTATTCTTGAGTTGAGTGCGGAGATTCATGGAGAAGAAGTGCAGCCAGGCTTTGGTACCGTTGTATACGGGGTTGATGACGTTGAAGGGGATGTAAGCGAGACCGCTGGTTATGTTGACGATAAGAGCGTTGGGCTTGGATTTGAAGTGAGGAATCAAGGCGAGTGAGAGATGCATTGGTCCGCGGATGTTGATGTCAATCTCTTGATCGGCCTTTTCGAGGAAATCATCGTTCTTTAGAACGTCAATTGGGCGCTGAACACCAGCGTTGTTGATAAGACAGTCGAGCTCAGGGTGCTCGCTGGTGATTTTCTTAACGAATGCAGGAATATCGGCTGTCTTGCCAGTGTCGAGGACATAATAACCAGCGGCGCCGATTTCCTGAGTCGTAGACTTGAGGTTCGATTCAGTTCGTCCAGCAAGAAGAACCTTTTTGCCCTTTGAGATCAAGTACTCGGCTAGTGCACGGCCGATACCGCCACCTCCACCGGTGATGACGGCGCAGTTGAACGCGAGACCATTTTGCGACATTTTGATGATTCCTGAATCTCACAAAAGACTAGATCGGTTATATTGTGAGTTTCTGAAGTGAATATCGCAATTGTTACGCGTAGATATATGAAAACGACCACGGAAGTTCGGCACTGTGGTTGTACTGGTGGTGGAACTGAGAGGTGTTCGCGTCATAGGCACTAACTTCAAACTGCAAAAGAGGCTAGTGATCCGGACGCCAACTCGATCCACAATAGTCTAAAGTCCGATAACCACGACGAGTCCGATAGTAAATAACGGGATGATAATGACGTAAACCCGACAAGATTGCGGATTTACGTCTATTTTATAAGCCGAACCCGAACCCTGCAAGCAGTTTGATCTACCGCAAGCCTCCCTAATGCTCATATCTTTCCTATATCCTCGCAAAGAATCTTTGCTATTTTAAAGTCCTGCTCTATTGCCGGGCTGTAAAATGCACCAGCTTCGAGATAGCCTAAGGCGAAGGTTGTCCATTTTTTGTTTATGTCTGATACGATGTCGCGGATGTATGGGTATGGTGAGACGCTGAGAGCGTATATGACGCATATTTGGCCGAATATTCTTAGGTATGATTAGAATTGGTATGAATGAGAGGGAGAGGGAGTATTACTGGCTGCAAACGAAGAATTTGAGAGGATTACAGCTCCTCATTGTGTCGGTGACTTGGATTACGGAGGCCCAGGCGAGAACAGCGCTTATAGCGTCACGACATTTCCGGAGATGTCCTTCGGTGAGCGATGCTGGTCTTTCCAGGGCTCGGTGGCTTTTAAAGTCAGTAAAGTAAAGACTACTGGATAAATGTACTTACAGCAGAGGTCGGCCGATGTGATATCTCGCGACAAAATACCGAGCATGTAGCCAGGCTGTCACAAGTGCATCAGAGGGAGACTCAGCCTGCGTCAAAGGCGATTTCGGATCAAACTGAAGCATAGGAGGTAACCGTTCCCGCCATTGCTCCAACTGCCGAATCAGTTCATCCTCAACCGGCTCAGGTGGATAATCCGACGTAGGATCTACCTTCATCAGCATCTCATCCTTTACTACCACGAAGGACCTCAAAACTTACTAAAATGAAACAAACTATTCCTCGCTCTCGTCAAAATAAGTCGGTGCGCAAGCTGCGATAAAAAGTGATAATGAAAGAACGGATCATCACCTGGATATCGAAACGATCCAAACGAGGCAATGTCTTGAGCGGAGATGAACTTTGGTAGAGCGATGTGTTCCTCGAGATGCAGGGAGTTGCTCGGTGGAAGGTTGAGTTCTTGGGATAGGACGGCTTCAAACATACTTGTTATCCAGAACAGGCGGGATTGCATGTCTAGCATCCATTCATCCCGATCTCTTGATAAGCTGCAGATGTTAGTTAGGATTGCGGATGGCGAATGGGGGCTTACTTGTTCCAGAAGTATGCGCTGCATGCGCTTGCTTTGCTGAGCATGGCCCACCAGTCGATGGGCCTCAAAGCCTCGGCGTAGAACAATCTATCAACGTCAGCTTCATCCGAGATACTTCGGCAAATCTCACCCTGAAAGAAGGTAAAACTGGCAGGCTTGTAAGTCCTGCTCGCACATCAAAAAGCCAAACCGTTTCCTCGCCTCATTAAAAAAGTCCAATCCTGGCATCCCCCCATCTTGTCCAACGTAAGGACTTGACGCCGGCGTCCCAGCAAACCCAGCTTCTTGTAGCGCCTTCTGTCCCATCGATCCCAGAGCCATAACAACAAGAACTATACAGCTCTCAATACAAATCCCAAAGTTCCCATCAATGGCAACACCAAGGGTTCGTTGAAAATACGTCTTCTGATCCAATATCGGATTCGCTAGATTAAATGTCGTAAAGTAAACATCAGATAACTGCTTTAACGTCGCAATACTCAATTTCGAAAGCCAATCCGATGAAATATCCACAGACGCAGCGTGCGGAAGTTTTGGCCGTGAAGCTTCAAGGCGTGTCGAGTATGTACCGCCTTGCATCTGACACATTAACTTCACAGATTCAGGGAGTGCGGACTGGATGGCAGGCCAGAAGAGGACTTGATGCGCGCTGAAGGAGATAGCGGGATTGGGATCATTTGGCGCTGCTGGTGAGTCGATCGTTTCGTGGCGGAGAAAAGATGGGACGCCGAGGACTTCGCTTGAGTTTGCGGGAGATCTGGGGTTGAAAGGTCGCAGTGCGGTGGCGATGGAGCGATGTTCTGTGGGATTTGAGTCGTGAGGTTTTGAGTCGTCGATTTTACCTTCTATGCGACGGAGGATGTTGACGATCATGCCGAGAGAGGCTTCATTGCTGATGCTGTTAGTGCTGAAGCTTGGTTGATCGAAGCAGCTTTAGATTTACCGCGTTGCTTTTCTTTGAGTGAAACGGCATTGAATACCGAGGGACTTGCAAAGTCCACATGGAAAATCTTCATCACATCTTGTTTTTTTCTGACGACAGTATTCACATGCCTATCATGTTTGAGTCATCTCATCCCCGGCGAGACGGTAGGAAGCTTACCTGTCTGGCGATGAAGCCTCTTTGTCTTTTTGACGGAGGTCCTTCATCTGAGCCGTTTGCCTCGACGGCAGGACTGCTTTCTTCTCGGTCTGCCATGCAGGACTATCGGTGTTGTTGATGAATTGTAGTGTTGTCCGGGGAGGAATGTCAAACTCCGGCTGTGGCACGTGCAGAAATTTCAGTGGCGCTTCGATAGATGCATATTTCACTTGCTACATACAAGTCGCGTTCACAGGAGTCATCTTCATTTCTCCAGTCAGTAATAAACAAAGCAATAATTCGGTGCCTAGTGGAGTAGACTAATCAATTTGTTGTCAAGTACTTTTTCTTTCCTGCCGACATCAATTCATCCTCACCGTAAGCTCTTTACGATCTTTCAGCCCGATTCTCCGCCAGTTCCATTTCCAACTCATTGACAGCAAATACCAAGCCCTCATTGTATCTATTAGTCTCTTTGATCTGATTCCCCGAGTCCTGAATGATTAGGAGCGTCGCAATATTAAGCGTCAACCCAGATACGTAGGCGAGCGGAATACTAGCCGCTGGACTCCAAGCATATGTGACAGCGCTCGTGAGACTCGTCAGCAATGACAATGTGAGCATCGTGTAGAACGTCTTGGGAAAGCTCGTCTTGATCTCATCCTTCTTGTTCTTGTTGAATAGTGGTTTCACGATGACGTACAGTCCTGCGAGTGACGAGATAAACTGACTGAGCGTTGAGTAAAAGTTGCTGTCTAATGCAGGTAGTGAGTCGGGAGATCCGCAGAGGATGGTGGAGTAGATGGTTGGTGGCATTGCGGCAGCAAGGATCAGAACAACGGGTGATTTGGTAAGCCCAAAGAGGCTTGTCCAATGATTTTCGCGTGCGTCAGGGCTGATGCTAAAGCGCTGTCGTAGCTTCGTCAATCGTCTCTCCTTGGGCTTGGTAGAACCGTTCTCCACGTGGACCGTAGTAGTGTTAGCATCTCTCCCGAATGAGGTCCTTTGGATAATGCCACCAGATGGAATGTTAGAACCGCTCGACCATGATTGAGCGCTAGAAGAATTGACGAATGGTGAGAGGTGTTTGGGACGTTCTGGCGAGGACTTAGTAATTGACAAAAGACGAGCCAGGGTCTGTCAACCCAATCTTACCTTGTTCGACACGCAATTCGTCGGCCTTCGCCGCACATTCCGCCATGTTAAGCTCGAACATGTCAAAGGCGACTTGGATGTCTGACAATAAGTCCACCAGAGACGTCCCAGCCATCCTGTCAATCTGCACAAACGCCTCTTTGACAGAGAGGTAAATAGACCGAATGTGGGCAACGTTGCTCTTCAAGTCGCCAATCTTGTCGCTAAGCCACTGATAATCCTTTACTTCATTCCTCCAGCGTTCGAATACAACAGTCCATTCATATCTCCACGAGTAGCTAAATCCATTTTCCAAGTTGCCCAGAATAGATAGATTCCGTGAATGCCAAGTCATTTCGGGTACTTTTCCATGATCATCGAATGCAGATAGAGATGCCAGAAGATTCGTTAAGGAGCGGCATTGTAGAATGACAAGAGGAAAAGATATTGAAATGCATAATTCGGCAATCTCCAGTCGTGCCTCTCTCATAGCTCCAAAGACTTTCAGTATGTTGATGGTAGCCATGTCAACGAGAGTCGGATATTTCTGCTGTAAGGTGCTCTTAGCCTCGTCCCGGACTCTCTTGGCTTCATCAGTGTTGCTTTCTGCCAGGAGAGGACTGGTTTCGATCCCGATAATACTGGACATACTCCCCGAGATCTGCTGTAGTTTTGTGTCCATCGTTTTCAATCTAGCGAAGTGAAAGTCCAGTAGGGAAAGCCATCTCTTGGCATAGGCATCATTTTCAAGCTCTTGAGGCCCATACCAGTTGCCTTGCCGCGCATACGTGCGCAAGGCGGATTAAGGCAACCAGAGGCAGTCCAACCTGCAGACGCCACCGTTGCATAGCTGCATCTTTTCCATTCTATCTCCCGCATGGCATAACAAGCTAGTATGCAGTGTGTGAAACACGATCTTGCTTATTGGCTAAGCATTATCAATTATCATAAGTCCCAAAGCCACGGCGGCTACCGCGCATACGCCTTGGCCCAATCGTGCGGTCAACGTATGTCACCAATCATGAGGCAGATTTCCAAGACCGGACGTAACGGTCTCTTTCGTGATCCGTAAAGCATTCCTCTAACTACTACCTATAATACTATATACACTGGGTCGGCTCTACATTTACGCTTTTGTCGCAACAACTAACAACCGAGGAAACGGCAAAAGAACCTTTCCATCCTTCTGCGCGGTATAGCCTTGCTTCAACTTATCCAAATAGGCCTCAATAAACGCTTCCTGCTCAGGCTCCGACAGCGGATTCAGATAGGGACGAAGACCGGTCCCCTTGACCCACTCAACAATCCCTTCATGATTCTCCATAACATGCATGTAAGTCGTCTGCCAAATATTAAGATCAGAGCACAAATGCTTCAACCCATCCCAAATCTCAGTTGGTGAAGGAAACTGGTCACGAGAGTAGTTGGCGGCTCTGAGTTTCTCTGTCCATGGCATGTTGGGTGTATCCGCTGTTTCTCGCATCAAAGCGTGACTTGGCTCTTCAAGATTAAAAGGGACCTGAAAAGCGAGACTTCCACCAGGCGCGACATGATCAAGAAGTTTTCTCACAATCTCAATGCGTTGCCCATTCGGCAACCATTGAAAAACAGCGTTCGAGAAGAGAACGTCAACAGGTTCTTCAGGCTTGTAGGTCAAAAGATCAGCAACCTCAAACGAAACATTAGGAAGAGTTTGTTTCGCCTTCTTGATCATATCAGCTGAGGAATCAAAGCCTGAGATGTGAGCGTTGGGATAGCGTTCGGCTAACACGGCGGTTGAGTTGCCGGGGCCGCAGCCAACGTCCACGACGCGCTTGGGAGATGTGTTGGGAACGTGGGCTAGAAGATCTGTCGAAGGACGGGTGCGGTCTTTGAGGAATTTAACGTATTGGTCTGCGGACCACGTGTCTTTTGCTTGAGCCATGGTAGCTGAGAAGTAGCGTTTTGGTTGTTGATTGAGGGAGGTGAGAAGATGACGTCGTGATAGTGAAGCGACGCGAGACATTGTCAATTGAAGACTCGTTGATAGTAATGTGAGCCTAGAGAGTATTCCTCAATTCTTGGCATGAGGGAGACAGCGGGGATCGTATTTATATTCGTATTTGGCCACTGTCGTGACTGATAATATTATTCAGTCGCGTGCCATTTGACGGACTGGGATTGAGTTTCCTGCGAGAATGATGGCCTCAGCCGAGTCGGACTCCGATCTCCAAAACCGAGAGAGTGGGACTGCCTCGGTTCAGAGTCGGGCTATCGGATGTATTCTTCGGAGACGAGCAGGACCTCGTAAATGAATAGAATTTTTACGATGATCTTCGTATAACAATTTTAGAACTTATGTCAGGTGTATGTATGTTTATTAGACTAAAGACGCATGGTTGTGGTGGTTGCGGATGATTCGCATGAGCTGTCGTGTTACAATGACTCCCATCATGGACCGGGTTGAATTCATCACTATAATAACCAGGTTCAAAGGCAAGAATTATCGGTCTGTCCTGAAACTTAAGCTATCTTTATATCAAAGAATTGAATCAAACAGTTTGTAGAAGTAGTAAATTTGTAACGCGATTCGGAGTCGGGACCTTTCTTACTGACAGTGTTTACAAGCCAGCCAATCAGCCGTAACCACAAGCTCCGCGGAACCAGGCACTTTACTAGGCTTACATGAGGATAATCATGGCGAACCCTCGAAGTTTCATCGCAGCTTGACTAATCACCTGTTTCACCACTGTTTGTTTGCATTTGTCAGTTCCTTCCGCGCTCATGTTTACTGTTGATTCTATCCGGCTCTCAAAGAAAGTAGTTAACATAAGTTGTGTGCAGGAAGGGGTTGTCATGTATTTAAAGAGATGAAATGCCCATGAAAGTTAGTTCGTTCTACGCTCTATCATCTCTACCGAGACTTGCATTGTTACATACCATTTGCATCTACCATCAATTTAGATCACACGATACACCTTTCATCGCAATGGCAGAAATGAAGCCGATCAAAGTGCTGGGAGTCCACGGACCCAATGCTGGCAAGATTGTTCTCCTCTGTGAAGAATTGGGACTCCCTTATGAGACGGAAATCATCCCTCTTACCGACGTCAAGAACCCAAACTACGTCGCTATCAACCCCAACGGACGATTGCCATCTATCCAGGACCCAAACACAAACCTCACTCTCTGGGAATCAGGTGCTATCATCGAATACCTAACCGAAACTTATGACAAGGACCACAAGCTTAGCTTCACGTCTGGCACAGCTGAAGCCTACCACGCTCGCCAATGGCTCTTCTTCCAGACGACCGGCCAGGGACCGTATTACGGCCAGGCGATGTGGTTCATCATCTATCAGCCACTTCCCGAAGCTCGCGAGCGCTATGTCAAAGAGGTCAACCGTGTGACCAGCGTTCTGGAAGGACATCTGGCTAAGCAGAAGCCTGACGCGGATGGAAACGTTTGGTTTCTAGGTGGTCGGCTTTCGTATGTGGATGTCGCGTTCTTCACCTGGCAGCACACGGCTGAACCGCGAATTCCGAACGAGGAGTTTAATCAGGATGATTACCCGCATGTTAAGAAGTGGGCGGAGAACATGCTTAAGCGCCCGAGTGTGCAGAAGGCCTTGAAGCTCCAGGAGGCTAAATAGACTTGTCAAAACAGTGTTGGAAGGGAGGTTCTGCCTTCAACAGGCGAGCCGCCGTTATAAAGTGTGTATAGGGATGGATAGTTATTGCCTTGATGTTGGGTATGGTGGTTTAAGAAAGTTTTGTTCGCCTTCCAACCGGCTTTGGTCAATTAAATGTAACGATCAATCCACCTCTAAATATATTATGTCAGAAAATCAATCTAAATATATATATACCCAAGAGTTAAATACGGAATGCTGGATATATAAAGAACTCTAAAGACTTAGACCTAATTTTTCAGATCCGACTACCTTCGAGTTGAATAATTTCTGAATGAGGGCAGTGATTAAGGTTGAGATTGATCAGAATAAACAGAACTCTTCACGTCGAGTTCAGCTACCCTATTCCTCGCGTTGTCACGCGCAGGAACGCGTCGAGAACTTCAACGCTGCCAGAAGCGAGCCAATCATCAACGGTTCTGGCCGCGTGGCCTAATGGCTAAGGCGCTAGATTTCGGTTTCCAGCCCCCGAACTCTCTAGAGATTCCAGGTTCGAATCCTGGCGTGGTCGACAATTTGCTGGATTTCTTTCTGAACGACAATTAGCCAGTAAGAATATTTTTTTTTAGCTGATAAAAAAAGTGTAAATATAATAAGTAATATAATGCTTAAGATTGACACATATTGATAGACCATTGTTAAAGCTAATACCAACAGCACCTAAAATACACCATGGCCAACAGATAATGACCCAGCGGTAAGTGAAACCCTTACACTGCATCTGCATGCGCTCCGCCTCTTTGGAGTGATTGGCGACAAGACCATGCTACAGGCACTGCCTGCGTTGTTGGCTCTTGGTTGGCCCTAGGAGAGGCTCTCACCTAATCAATCATTGGCGGCACTCTGGGTCGCTGTGCGAAGAGGGTGTAGATACACCTGTAAGGCGGACTGGTAGGCGCTATTGATACGCATCTATCCATCTTCCAATATATAAGCATCTCATTTCTACTGAAACCTGAACACCTCTGCCCATTCTAGCTTGAGTATCACCATTATATCCTATCTCACTTTGTCCTGTGACTGGCGCCCTTATTATAACACAAGGTGCTTCTGGATCTAGGAGATGGTGTCAGAACAGCCTAAAAACGAAGCAAGGCCGCTCGCAAATGAAGGTAATCCCTCCATCACTCAGTTACACAATCTAAATGAAGGAATATTAATATCAAATCTCTGACACGCAGGCCGACGCGTTGTACTCCTTATAACCACTCCAGTAGGCGAATCGTTCCAGTCTATCGCTCAAGTTACTGGGTACCAAGCACCAGAAAGTACTCCTGTTGATTGGTCAAGCCATGAGAATAGCGCTCTGCCGGACCTAGCATCCAGACTCAGATTTACAACGCACTACGCGCTATGTGTCATAGACTGGCAGCTCTGGGAGGGCAAATCTGTGAGTCTGCTACAAAAGTTCAGAGAGGCAAGGTTCTGGGACCACCCTGGCGATTATACAATGATTTCGCCATCGAGGAGTGGCCGCAGCAACAGTAGTACGACACCGGCATGTCTGAATGCGTGCAAGGTCTGGTCTGAGGAGGTTATACGTATGATAGACAGTGGAGAGGTCATTGGGCGGACAGATATGTCCGATGAGGAGATAACTCAAGGTATGTCAGACCGCGAGCAACACATATTCTTCGAGAGCTAACTTATAATGTAAAGTCTATACAAGCCTTCGACAAGATTGGACGTACATGCCTATTTTTTGGAACTGCCACGACCTTGCAATCCGACTCGCTTACATCATTGTTCGGCCATCGATGCATGTGATCCGGATTCTCAAAGGACTCATGATATCACTCCGCAGAGCCTGCAATAAGGAGATCAAGTGGGATTCTACGGCCGGCAAAGTTTCCTTCGGCGGATGGGGAGTAGCCGCTCTGGGTGGCATCGCTAGTGTGCCCCCATTAGCTATGGCTGGTATCGGTGTGTTCATGGTTGGATGTTCCGCATTGTTCTTTGGAGGGGTTGCGGTGTCTGCAAAGGAGAGAGCAAGATATCAGTTCATGAAGAAATTGGAGGAGAAGTTCCCTCAGCTCAAGTCGCTTCACAATTGAGCAGCCATAGCATGATGCGATGTCTTTTCACTTGTTGGATATATTTTTTTATCTTGTATGTCACAAATTGCAATGCTTTCAAGCACCCAGGGCCATCAAAATGGTCCATTTCAGAGCGAAGTCCTTTTTTGCAGGTATTATCTTCTTTAAGAAACTTATTGCGACCTATATTGGCGATCTAGCATGCACTTCCCACAGCGTACCTGACCCTCACTCATGCTCATACTCGACACTATACATACATCGAATATTCTTATCATCAGGACACCATCCATGAAAAACCAAGGTGTCGCCCGCCTCATTACTCGTCGCACCACCAGGTGCATCGAGTCCAAAGTCCGGCGCCGCAATCAGAGGCTCGTCCGCACGCGTATACGGTCCTGATAACTTATCCGCGTACGCATATTTGACATTATACAGCGGGTCGCGAAAATCGTGACTGCTAAAGAACAAGACGTATTTCCCGTTGCCAAGGCGTACGATGTTTGGCGCTTCAACGAGAACGCCGTCCTCACTGCCGATGCGGTCGAAGATCTTGACCGCATCTCCAATGAAGGTAATGCCGTCGCCTTCGATTTCTTGAAGCATAATTGGTGTACCGCCTGTTGGGCCTGATGCATCGCCCTCTATTTTGTAGATGAGATAATTCTTCCCGCTGTCGGGGTCTTTGAAGCCGCTCGCATCAATGGCGCCTTTGAGGTCATCTGGTCCGCAGACAAGAGGTTTCTCATCATATGTATAAGGACCAGTGGCATTCTTTGAGCGCGCGACACCAATGCAATGTCTACCAGCTTCAATCTCAGGACTCAGGTAAACGATGTACTCTCCACTATCGACGCGTCGAATGTCAGGTGCCCAGGTGTTCTCGCCTGTTGTCCAACCTTTATCGGGGAGGGCATCCTCCTGTTGCAGGGTCCATTCGCCGAGAAGATCTTTAGCTGTGGCGACTTGAAGTTTTCTGTAGTTGTCTGGTGGACCGCCGTTTGTTGCGACAGCTACCCATGATCCATCTTCGAGTTGGATGATTGATGGATCTGGAAAGTCGGCGTTGATGGCTGGGTTGAGTGTTCCCTCGTGCTTGACGGTCAACTTTAGTGCTGATTGACGAATGGTACCCGCTGAAACGGGGTTGAAAAGAAGGCCGAGGACGGGCCAGACAAGGCTTTGAGTGATCATGATGAACTTTCTCTCGTAACTTTAATCGCGGACTCTTGCTAGAAGCCATGGCATAGTCTCTACCTGCGCTTTTATACCCGAGAGGATCTAGGCACAGCCTTCGATCTGCACTGCTTAGCTTGTTTCTACACCTCTCATACGTCAGTCGATTATGCCGTCAGCTGTCGATCACATCAGATTTCTTACTCTAATTTTAAAATAAGCAAGGTACAGCTTCCTTTTGGGGTAAATCGCTGCGCATAGCTGCAGAATAAGCATAGCCTGCCATTACAGTGGGTATCGCTTATAAGACAGGCGAATGGTAATTCGGCATAATTGTTGTTTTCTGTTATCTCTTTCATGCGAAGGGCCTTTTACCGACTCGTTTGTTGACCGCATAAATTTTGTTTGGACTTTTGGCATGTTGATGCTGCAGTCCTTTGGCGAGTGAAAATTGGCATCGACAGGGATGATCACTCTGGTGATTTTGAAGTTACCCTTGGTATCACGGATTATTCTGCGATTGGCCTTCGCATCCCCTGATGATTTGAGCCTGTCTGGCAACCGATCAAGCTAACAGGATACCCCAAGTACTCACGCCAGCACTTCAGTGGTTCCGATGAGTATTACGGGGAAATGGGTTTAGGCTGAAGGATAGATCATTCTTTCTCAAGTAATGTATATCATGTTTTCTAGCTAAAGCTTCCTCTTGACTCACTCTGCCAAAACGCCCAAAGACGTCTTGGTGCTCATGATGTTCAAAAAGGTAATATCTATCCGTAAAACTGTCCAAAACCACGAGCGAAACTCTGACGCAATCATGCTATCAACATCAAAGCTAGGTAGCGGTTTATCCTCGCTGATCTGATCTTTAGGAATTAGGATTAGGTTAGAGAAGCGCGTCTTGATCAGTTGCATAATGGCAATGCGCAAGGTATCAGAATCTGCAACTGGGGCAAAAGCCGGCGACAGAGTCGAGGGAATGCTCTTGAACCATTCTGCCGCGGAGACAACTACTGTGTGGCCATGCTGAGAAGTCACGTCCTGACTCTTTCTCATCTAAAACGGAGGCTAGCAAGATAGAGGAGAGTGCACATCATGAACGAGCTTGGGAGATTGATGTTTGGAGGCTCGTCACGATCTTTTACTCTTGATGAGATTGTCGGGATCAAAAAGAAGCTTGATGGTTGGAAAGACAGCCTACCGGAGTGTCTTCGGCCAAAGAACCTTGTCTTTCCACTTCATTTATCATTGCAGTGAGTACCAATCTGACAGCAAGAGGGATATTCTTATTTCTAATACCTTAAAGTGTTCAACAACCACTCATGGGATTCATGCAGATCGTCTTGAAGTCCGAGTATAAGGACAGTTCTCAAATCCTGGCGGCATGTTCAGGGAAAGCACCTGAAACAGTCTTGAATGAAGCCAAGAAAATGCTTGAGACGATCATGAGATTGTACTACACACGACGCAATTTTGAGTTCTACGATCCGTGGATTGCTTTTGCTCTAACAGCCATCGGTAATGCGGTCGTAGCAGACTTAGCAGAAGGAAGCGACGACGATCCACAAATCTCAGCTGGCTACTGGTCTACCCTTTTCTTCGCAGCGCAGGGCTTGAACAAACAGTCCCGTAATTATCATGTCAGTAGACTTTTGGCTATTCAGCTTCAGAAAGCCATGAAACCGGAGGATCTGCAGTTGGTGCAAACTCATGCCATGGCTGCTCGTATGGAGGATGATGAGCCGGTTCTTATCGCAGAACATTCGGATAGTTTATGGTCAATTCCGGGACTAGCGATAATGAATATAGACCCAGATAGGACTAGGCTGAAGAACGTGATTGCCGGTGTTCAAGACCCTGATATGCAATCTGTGTAGTCGAGAGGTTGTCGGTCTAGCAGTTGAGGGAGGAGACCGCCCAAGCAATAAGCTCAATCGCAACAAATGGCAATGGCCATGACACAGAATAGAGTTAATATGCATGAGGCCTAAAAGCTATTCCGTATTAACAATTATGACTGCAAAATAAGAGCTGAAAGGTAAACACGCTACCGTTGACGCTATTGAATTGCGATAGTGGGCGACTCAGATCCAGACTCTCGGGAAAACTGTCACTATGGCGCTAGTGACCGAATTTGGGATTAAGGAGCGGAAAAGATGTCGAATGAGGAGTAAATCTCGGTAAGTTCCTGATATGCATGGTCGGCACTAGAAAGTGGAAGCAGAAGATGCTTGACGAGGTCCCGTTATCGCGTGGGATTATGATGCTCTGTGCGGTTGACACGGGGGAGCGGATAAATGTCGAGATTCTGAAATTATCCAAGTGACTGTAATGAGAGTATATCATATGAATGGATCGAGGCAATCTGTTTCAGAGCTGAACTTGTAGCTGATCAGAGTCTGTCTCTCAATTTGTGATTGACTTGTCGATATGTTGGTTCCCTCACGGCATGATCATGATGTTGACCTTGACGTCAAATTTCAGGGTCCACATCAATGACATCTAACACCAATCCAGGTACCAAAACACTAACCATCAATAGCCCGACTGCCGGACCCAAAAGGCGCAGGCTGAACGTCTCAACGTGGACAACGCCACACTACACTATCGAAAGCCCTCGGCATCACCAATTCCGCAATAGGGGTCCAAACACCCGGGAAATAACTAAAATACAACATGCAATTCCAACTTTTCCTGTGAGCTTCAACCGTCCAACTCGGTCTGTCATTCATTCGTTATTGATTTGGTTTACCCCTACGCTCACTATGCGCTCCTTCATCGCCATCGCGGCTCTAGCCATTTCTGGCGCCGTCGCTGGTCCTTGCAAGCCTCGAACCACTGAGACTTCTGCATCTGTCGCTTCAGAGACTTCGTCTGCTGCTATTGAAGCTACCACTCTTCCTGCACCTCCCGTCGATTCTATCATTACCAACACTTGTACGGGTGGTGGTCTTACAAGCCTCGATCCGTTTGTCACTGACGGTGATGTTACCCTTAACACTAACGATGGTTACAACCCTGGCGGTGGAAGCTCTGACAAGAGCTGCGCTGCGCTTAGTGCCCAGTCTTCGGGAACTCGCAAGCGTCAGACTCTCGGAGACATCGCGGCGCTGAAGCAGTTGCTCACTGGCCTGAACGTGCGAACTCAGTATACCGTTCAGTTCTTTTACCTCGTCTTCACTCCTCCCCAGGCAACAACATCTTGTGTTCTCGAGGCGTTCATTGGTTCGCAGAAGTTCTTCACCACTGGCATCTTTTCTAATGGTGCTAGCGTTAGCTACAACGAGGTCTTGGTCTCGACTTCTGCTCCTGCTACCCAGGGTTTCTTGAACATCCAGACCACTTGCTCTGCTGGAGGTTCTGCTACAGTGCTTGTTGATTCTATCTTCATTTCTAACCAGGTAACTCCTGAGAACATCAATGACTTTAGACTTGACTTTGGAGGCGGTGATATCCGTGAGCCTGGTAATACCCCTGCTACTACTCAGGTTGCTTCGACTACTCAGCGTGGACCTGCTACCCAGACTCTTCCCGCCACCCAAAACGGTCCTGCTACCCAATCTGAGCCTGCCACTCAGAACGGCCCTTCTACTACCACCAATGCTCCTAACCAGGGTACTACAACCGCCCCTCAGAACCAAGGCACAGAGTCTACTCAAGGAACCGTCATCCCCACCGAGACTGCTGTCAACGGAGCTACAACTGCTGGTGGCGAGTCGAGCCAGTCCACATCCGCTGCCCAGAACAACCAGCAGACTACCGAAACCGCTCAAGGAAACTCCCAGTCCACTGGCACTGTTCAGGCTAATGCTCAGTCTACCACTTTCCCCGGTACTGGCTCCTCTGAGTCTACTTCAGCCCCTGTCAACGCTGCCTCCCAAGCCACTACATCCTCCGCCAACGGCGATGCCTCAACTGATGGCAACTTTGCTTCCACCACTACACGTCCCGACACCCAGCCTGCTACTCCTACTCCCGTCGGCTTCCAAACCGTCACTGCGTTCGATCCTGATTCTACCGTCGGCCCGCTCAACAATGCTGAGCCTGCTCAGGATAACTGCGTCAGCACCAACCTGATCCCCAATGGTGGCTTTGAGTCCGCATCAAGTGGTTGGCAGATTTCCGGAAACGCTGGTATCACCTACAACGGCCAGTTCGGTCCTCAAGCCCGTGCCAACAGCGGAAACCTCGCCATGTAAGTCTCACCATCCCCTTCCCCATCAACTAAACTAACAACTTCCAGGGCTCTACACTGGCCTCAAAAAGACGGCGTCAAAGCCGGTTTCAAGCGCACCATCAGCGGCCTCGTCCCTGGTCAGACGTACTATCTCGGCTACGGCCACCACACGGGCAACGGCGCCCATCTTCCTTACTACGAGTGTGACATCCTCGTCAAGTTCGACGGTGTCAACTTTGATGATTTTGATCCTTTCTACGACCCTAATGCTTGGTGGCAGTACCGCAACCGCATGAACTTTGTCACACCTACGCATTCTACTGTTGAGCTCTCGTTTGTTCTTACTTGTCAGAACAACCCGGCTTCTTTTACGCTTCTCATGGATGATGTTTTCCTTTCTGCTTGTCAGAAATAGATGGTGTTTTAGAGGGTAGACTTGCTTATAGAGTAGAGTTAATATAACCTTCATGAACCTCACTTCCAGCCTCACAATTTACAGTGTCTTATAGTATGATAATACTTGATGTATTGAGGACTGTCTATCTCTTTTTTTGCTTCCATTCAACTTCCACGCCAAGACTTTCGTAGTGTTCTGCCAACGCAGTAATGTCTTCTGTTTCAATCGTAATTGAGACGAGTGTGACTTTGTGAACCTGGACCAATTTCCATCCCGCCTTTCCTTTACCATGAATCCTTTCAAGATCACGGCTTAGCGTTTCAAGCTTGAAATGCTTTGGCTCTCCAACGACCTGCACTATTCCCGGCTCTTCAGGTGCAGACATTGTGACAATTGAGGTATAAAAGTTTAAATGGATGGGGCTGTAAAGGTATTCGTGGCGGAACAAAGAGAGGGTTATGTATCCCGCAGCCCGCTCAGTCGGCTCAAGAGCAGTGCGTAGCTGCGTTCGAGTGGCCTTCGAGCAGAATGTTCAGGAGCAATGAATGTATGTCAATTCCCAACAGTCTTTGACACATGAATCAGCCATTAGTCTTGATTCGCCTCTGAAACTCACCCCTCAGTGATAAATTTGGAAGAGAAAACTGTGACAGTTCACGATAACTCAGGCGTACCAACTAAGCGATTCCTAGAAACTATCACACTCCGAAATATCTGCAATTTATTTTCTTGCGACAGACTTAGTGAGGGTGAAACGTTGATGGCTTTTTATTTGTAGGTCGTTCAATCTAGCTCTCTGGCTACGAACTCGGGCCACGTCAACGTCACTCCCAAATCTCCAAGTATTTCTCTCAAACCAACCAGATCAACAGTTTCAGATGTAAAAATGAGTAAATCGTCAACCCTATGCCATGTTGCCCTATCCTCCCCGTAAATTATTTCCAAGGCAACGTCAAGGTAGTCAAGGCTGAAAATCTCAATTTTCGGTAGGAGATATGAATATCCGATGCAAGTGGTCATTTTGATGATAGGTTGTCTCGGCGAAGGTTTTTAATTAAATGTTTGCTTGTTGTTGGATCTCTTGTGCGATGTCAGGAGATTGGGTTGCCGAGCGTGGTTTTATTCTTTTGGGCGTTGCTTGACGTATTGTGAATGATTCCCTTTGAGCCTCGAGATATGAATGTGAGAGGGTTGGTGTGAGCTGAACATCTGTTTGCCGCGACCTCATCGACAAGTTTGTTATCCGCTGCTGAACCCGGTGCGTGCCACGTCTCATATTGTCATAGATGTTATGACGACATTTGTAGCGCGTCAACGCCCTCTCTGCTGTGATTAGATGCTCAAGCATCAATCCATATCAGACCTTGCAGTCTTTCACGGGTTGATCGTTGGTCAGACTGATCGTCAAACATGAACAGTGGCATCAAACGAAGTGGTAATTGAGGGCGCGAAATAAACTCTATTATCGTCTATTTATTAAACTAGACGTTTGTCGTAAAATCTTTTTTCATTAACCTCTTGAACATCTTACAGACGGGACTTAGTGTCCTCCTCACGGCCCTTCAAGTTAGGGTGAGGAGCGCGAACAGGTCGAGTGACAGCGTAGAAAGCAAAGCCCTGAGATTGGGTAGAGAACTGCCTATGCGTCAATATTGCGTCTCTCGAAGCGATGAAGGCGAATGGGTACTGACCTTGACCTTGGATCCAACGTGGAAGAAAGCAAAGTCACCGGGAACAAGGTGATGCGTGATACCAGTAGCCTCATCCTACGAATCATCAGTTTCACTATCGACGATAAGTCTTGCAAGGAACATACCAGCACGTCAATCTGACCACTCAAGACATACTTGCTCTCCTCAAAATCATAGTGCGCAGGACGGGCAGGACCAGCCTCGATCTTGTAGAAACCGGATGTGATGTGAGCGGGGGCATCGGTCTTTGTGCGGATGGTATGGAAGTCAGCGACGGTGGCGTTCTCGCCTTGGGGCAGAGGGATGAACTCGTGGCCGGCGCCCTTGATGACGGTGAGAGGGACGAGTTTAGACATTTTGACGGCTTATGGGGTATGAAGAGTATGGAACTGAAAGGGGAGATACGGAAAGATAGGGACGGGCTTTTATACCTTGGGAGTTCAGCGTGTAAGACACTTCGGTAACTGCCCCGATGCTGGGGAAGATTTGTGGGGAACGGATGTTCTCCCGGTCTCCACTTCGGCGCGGAGGTGATCTTGATGGCGACTTGATGTTGTCATTGTTCTTCCATTTCTGATAAGATAACTCAGATAAACGGTCGAGGCATAATTTCTGTCAGATATCTTCGGTATCTCTATGTAGAAATATTTCTTGACTATTCTCTTCATGCTCCTTTGTTGGCATCAAATGCCGGCCGAATTAACTCTCCGGGTTCTGGGGTTAGCGTAGCCGCCCGGACAAGACTCGGGATGTCTCCTCCACGTGATCGGAAAACTGTCATTACTGCCGAGACGAGCTGAGCCTATCAAGCACATCAAGATAGGTATATCTTGCCATCCGCCAGAAAACGTTATTGTCTACTCGAGCATGCCAAATGGGGTACCTTCGGCTCGATATTTCCAGTCTCCTGGGACCTTTGACAATGAGTCTATCTCTACAGGGTGTCAGTGGCCAAAGCCTGTGACGGTAGACATGCCTTCAGCAAGCTATGTGCATCACTGAGTATGGCATCATTACTAAGCCACTTACTTCTAAATTTGCAGTCAGTCAGTCATTTCCGCTGCGGCTGTTCGCACTGAGTAGAATGTCAATCGGATAGACCAAGCAAGACATGTGCATATCGATGTTTTTGCCGTCAAGTCTGCCTCGTAACTTGGCATTTATAACTGATTCAGAAATTAGTCCTTGCAATTGGACGCTCTCGACGGCCTTGCGTTCGATGGCGAAAATCTCCCTTTGCTATTGGGTCACGACGCTGAGGCTGACAGACTAGAGCTCAGCTGGAACGCCACCAAGGTCCGTATCTGGAGATGCCAACTCATGGCTGACTTTTCAGATACTCCCTTTTCCTTATCTTTTTTTTTGCCCGTTTTCATTTATATCTTTTTGTTATTTTATGCTTATTCTGCTCTTTTGTGAACCCGATGTGCAGCCTAATTGAAACTCGACGGACGCCATGAAGAAGCTTTCTGGCTGGAGGAAGACGGCCCTTTACCTTACCCTTCTGGCTGCAATCCTCACGATCTTCCTTATTACAGGCCTTGTCATATCTCTGCATGTTATCAACGGCGGCGGAGCATCTATCTTTGGAGAAACAGCCATCTTGAGCGGTTCATGCGATAAGATTTCCCGTGCAAATCTCTGGATCCATCTCGCCATCAACGTCATCGGAACAGGCGTCCTCGGCTCATCCAATTTCTTCATGCAAGTCCTCGTTGCTCCAACGAGGAAAGATGTCGATCGCGCCCATGCTTCAAAGCGCTGGGTAGAAATTGGTGTCCCATCGATCCAAAACTTTCGCTTTATTTCGAAGCGCCGGATATTGCTTTGGGTGCTCTTCTCACTTACCAGTATTCCTCTACATTTGGTCTTCAACGGTTCTGTTCTGGAGTCCAAGGCGACGAATGGATTTGTGGCCATCATGGCCTCGGAGACGTTTCTTGATGGTGCAAGATTTACTCTTCCGTCTGTGACGACATCGTCCAGCTACCCTTCCACTCTAGACAGTGAGAGCCCCCCGAACAAAACTATCAGGAGTATCAAGAGTTCTCTGGATGAAGAGTCCTGGGAACGCTTAGGATTCCAAGACTGTATGCGACGCTATAATGATCTTGAAGTCCTCATGCTAGATCGCCGGCATGTCGTTATGGTCATGAGCAATCAGAATAACACGCCTAGCTCTCAGTGGACTCGATCCAATGTCGTCAAAGGAGGTAATGGCTGGGACGATCAAGATGCACCAAATTCCCTCTGGTTCGCAGGCGCTTATCATCGGTTCAGGGATTCACGGGGGCTCATCACAAATTCTACGAATAACAATACAGTACCTGGTTACTATATGCAACTCGATCCAGACACTGGCGTCGTCTACATGAACGAAACAAAGTATGAGCCCGCATTTCAAACTATGAAGGTTGACTACTGCCTCTCCGAAAGGTTTAATGCTCCCTGTCGACTTAGCATTGCAAATCCTCTTCTTCTAATTGTCTGCATCATGTGTCTCTCCAAGTGCCTGTTATGTGCTTATACCTTGAAGGTCAGATCTTGGAGTAGTGAAGAGCCTCTCATGACTGTCGGGGACGCAATCTCTTCTTTCATTGCCAAGCCAGATACTTGCACAAAAGGAATGTGCACACTCGATGCTGAGGACCTGCATATGAAACTGGATCCAGAGAGGGCACTCAGCAGTCCGCGGCCCTGGAAGAAGAAACAAGTGGTGGCTGGTAATGCAGTAAATCCAGGTGTTTGGATCCTTTCTTACATGCTTATCGGAAGTCTATTGGTTCTCAGTGGACTCCTCCTTGCACCTGCGCTGCAGACGCAGTCTTTGTAAGTCGCCACCTAACTCTCACGTCAAAAGGCTAACACGCCGATGTGTAGACGAGAGTCACGATTCGTCCATCATCAGAAAAACGCCGACGTCAGCGATTCGGGGCTCAAGTCAGCATCACTGCTTGGTCTCACCATGATATCGAATACACCGCAACTCCTATTATCTCTATGCTACATGACGTTGAATGGGTTGATAACTCGAATGGTTGCCGAGTTTGAATGGGCTAGCTATGGGAATCAGTTCAAGGCTTTGAGAGTGACAAGCCCCAGGGGTAGCCAACGATCAACATATCGACTGCAACTCCCTTACCGCTGGTCCATTCCACTTCTTGCAATTAGTAGTATACTGCACTGGGTATATTCCAACTGCTTCTATTTGAGTAATTACGAATGTAAGTGGTTTCATGCTGTGCTAGGAAAAGGGCGATAAGTGCTTGGATTCGTCCATTGACAACTCTTATTAGTTTATGACCCCATGATTCCTTATGATATCATGGAAGTTGATCGCGGTCTTCAATTCTCGTCCGTGGCCATTTTGTTCGGTTTCTCGATATCAGTAGTTATAGCGCTGAGTCCTATAATTCTGGCAAAGCGCCATTTGCCAGGCCAGATGGTTCTAGGAGGAAGCAACTCCAAGGTCATTTCGGCTGCTTGCCACTGTATCCCCGTCAGTTCAAGCCACGCAACTCGAAAAGCTGGCGTGGTTACTGTTCATCCCTTGGAGACGTCGGAAAGCTTAGGAGATCCATTGGATTCGATGGCGAGTATGAAATTGAGATGGGGAGATGTATCGACGATAAATGCAGAGAGCGAAGTTGGCCATCTTGCGTTTGGAGTTGAAGAGCAGGGAGTCACAGAGCCAGTTGAGCAGAAACATTACAGTGGAAGAGGTTGTGATTCCTAACTTACTCCTTCTAGCAATGCTCAGATGTTAAGCCTGGTATGCGTAGCAACAGGCTTCGCCCGAATCATCAACGGAGTCTTGATCCACAGCGCAAAAGACTTCTGATCGGCCCAATTCCGACTCTCCTCACACAACTCAAGATCATACTTGAATAACAATGTCGCCAGAATGAGTCTCATCTCATGCATAGCCATATTCTGCCCAAGACAATTCCGAGGCCCGAACCCGAAAGGTTGGTGAGCTTCCCACATGTCTCCAGCATACTTCGAGTCCGTCTTGAGCCATCTCTCCGGCACGAAAGTATCGGCGTCCTTGAAGTTTGATTCAGAGTGGTATGTGGAGTAGTGGTGGACTGATACACGCGTCTCTGGTGGAATATATTTTCCCAGGATTTGCTGGCCGCCTGCTTGAACGACCCGTGGACTTCCGATGGGAACTGGGGGGTAGACGCGCAGAGCTTCCTTCAGACAAGCGTTCATGTACTTCAGTTCGGCAAGACGTTCGAAGGTAAGGTCGTCAGTATTCGTGAACTTGCCGCGAATCTCTTCAAGTAATGTCTTCATCTTCTCGGGGTATGTAAGCAGGTTATAAAGGCAACCGCTTAGTAGTGTAGCTAGAAAGCATAATCATGTCAGCCATCTTCGCGCACGTCTGTGGGAAGTTCACTTCTAATACATACCCGTTGTCTCAGATCCAGCAAGCATAAACAGTTCCGCATTAGAGTGCATTTCCTGAAGTGTAAGTCCCTTGCCCTCCTTTGCCGACATGACCAAGTTCCAAACATCAGGCTGATCAGAACCATTCTCCAAACGATGGTTCACACGATCTTCTGAGTGTTTGCAATGCGTGACGCGCTGCTCTGTAACTGACTTTGGTTCAAAACGAGTAAATATGGCGTTGAGAATGGGGTAATAGTTGATCATAGACGCAATCGGTAACATCTTGAGAGATTCGAAGATGGATCTCACCCAAGGGCTGTATTCGTTCTGTGCCAGGAGATTAAGAGGATGTCCGAAGCAGAGCTCAGCCATTACGTCGAAGGTTGTGAAGTTGAGAAGCTGCGTCATTTCAACTGGTTTGGCGCCGTCATTTCCAACCTCGGAGATCTTGTACATGAGAAGATCTGAGTATTTCTTGAACAAGGGTTCTTGTTGTTTCAGGGCGCGCTCTGAGAAGGCCGGTGAAAATAGGCGTCGCACACGAGTATGGTTCTCAGTATTGGTAGTAAGCATACTAGGAACACCTAATACCTGTATAAGCCAAGCTTAAATTTATCACCTCTGCATGAACATGCTTACCATTCACCGGCTGTACAGAGAACTCCTGCGCCTTTTCCGTCACTTTAGGTCCATGGATATCATTCCAAGCCTCGCTAGCAGTATAGCTCACATCCGTCGGTCCAAAGCGAACAACAGGTCCATACCGATCGTGCAAGCTCTTCATCCACTTAACATCCTCGCCCTTGAGCGAAGCCAACCAGTAAGGAATGCGGGTGATCCCGCAGATCTTTGGGCCGGGGATGTTCGCTAGCGGATGCAGCGTGACATAATAAATTGCATTGCCGAGAAGATACAAGCCCAGAATGGCTATGAATGCGAGAATAGGTCCCATTGTTGACGCAGTTGTAGCGAGAGAAAAAGCAAATGCCGAGGAGGAAGGGGAGGTGATTGAAGAAGGAATCTTGGGTGCGAGGGCGGTGACTACTGGCTTGTCGGTAAAGTGATAGGTAACCAAACATCACTGAGTCCCTAGGGGTCGTTTCTGCATCATCCCTGATCGTAAAAACGTTCCTTTGCGGCGTTACGCTGGAGGTGGGCACCCAAGCCAGGGCCTGCGCAAATGAAACATGAAGAATTTTTCATCAAAATATCATCCACTAGAAACTACACTTTCCTGCTGAAACGGCAGCCATTCTGTGCTGTTTGCTTCGGGATTGGCCCAGTCTACATACATGAACTCCTGCTCTCCCAACTCGGACATTCTTCATAGAAGAGTTTGAGACGAAAACTGAGGTAATTGCTCACAGGTGTTTATTCGCTTAGCAGACTCATCCCTGAACCCTCATATCATGTTCTTTCTTGGCTCTTGCAGTAGCTCAAACTTTATTTCCCATTTGCGCTGCTATTATTGGATATGAAGTTGTAGCGCGAGGTTCAGGACCAGGGGAATAGTTTCCCCGGAGCAGGGGACCAAGACGTTCCCCAGTTGTCGTCTCTTCCCTCTTCTATGAAGAATGTCCGTGTTGTTCAGATCAGACATTTCTTGCCTGGGGAACCTGATGTAGCCTTTTCGTTTATAAGCAGAAAGAAAACACGGGAAATGGGAAGTTGTATCATTGTCTTGCATTCTGGCTGGCCGGTGATGACATGCATGACATGACAGCATACGGAAGGCTATGACAGCTCGGATTCTCGTATAATTTTGGGACCATCAACCACGGCATTGTATCCCGACGACTTCAAGGTAGTATTTTAATACCAAGAACTTGCTTCTTCGACCCTCACATCACATAAATCACTCCAATCACGCGCCGCAAACACGAAACAAAAGCGACATGAGTGTCTTGGCCCTACCAGACCCCTAACAGCTGAAAACCGAATTAGATCAGATCGAGACTAGCGAGGTAGAATGCCCCGTGTGCATGATCCAGAAGTAACCTAGACACGGGGGTCTACAACCAACAGTCATGAAGGAATGGCTGCCGATTGCGCAGCCAGGGTTTGACCAGATCCATCATACACGGCAATAAAGAGATCCCGCCCCTTTCAATAAACAACTTGGGCTAGGTTCAATTCAAGCGTCTTCTTGTATTCGTAATTTGACGACTCCAAAATGGCGGCTTCGATGACGGGAGAGCAGATTCAGGCTCTCGCTGATGCCCTTGAACCTCTAACACCGAAAGATCTTGGACCAGCTGTTCAAGGCTTCGCAGTCGCCTTCGGTATCACAAGCGTCATTGTCGTTTGCCTCAGGATCTATGTGCGCGCGGGTTTATCTGGAGTATCGCCACGCCTTCTCGGGTTCGAAGACTACCTAGCTGTTGTTGCGACAGTAAGCTACCCTCTTCTTCTGATTTAAGTACCAAATTGACTAACTCTAGCAAAGATACTTTTAATCCCCGCCGTCGTTTTCGCATTCCTTGCAGCGCGCTATGGGGTCGGTTCTCGCGATGCGAATATTCCGAACCAGATGTACCTTATTCGCGCCACCGAGTACCAAACATACTGGGAGCTTTTATACTTTACTTCATCGACCATCATTAAGTGTGCCATCGGTTTTACATGCATACGCCTCGATCGTCGGAAGCGAGTTGTTTTTCCTATATGCGTCAACATGTCGATTATGGTCATCGTAACTGTTCTAGCCTTGGCATTCGTGTTTGCCAATTGCAAACCTTTCAATGCGACATGGAATCCAGCTTTGTGAGCTTATAAATCCTCGTATAAACGTCAGTACTTCAACCAGCTAACGGGAGTGTCAGAGGAACTTGTCAGAAGGTCATCAGCTTGCAGACGGTGAGCTACATCGTTTCGGCTATCCAAATGGCGACCGACTGGGCATGTGCGATCATTCCGTTCTTTATCGTAGCAGGACTACAGATGTCTCGGCGCAGAAAGATATCCGTCATCACTATCCTCGGTCTCGGTGTTTCAGCGAGTATTGCGACCTGTATTCGGATGCCCTATCTGAAGTACTATGACGTGGTGAAATATCCAAACGAGATCGCTTGTACGTTTGGATACGTTACTTTTCCTTGGCCTATAGGTACATCTTCTAACTTTCGTCTTATTTAGATCATCTCGGCGTCGTCAGTATCACCTCCAACGTTGAATGCTGTCTAGGCATCATCGCATGTTCTCTACCACCGCTCCGAAAGCTGTTCAACTTCTACTACGGCTCCTCTCACGAAGGAAACTACCAGTACACAGGCGAAGTGAGTTCCCCAAATCTGCCTTGTAACACATCAATATCTGCATACACTTGCTAATTATCGCAGAGCGAGAACGTCCTTCAGAATTCCGGTCAGGGTATCAGGTTGGATTCAATCAATGGCCGAAAAGGAACATTTCACGCATCAGCCCAACGTGTTCCATCACGAGCTCGAGATCACGAGACAGACGATGATAATTCAAGCAGCAAGGGAATTATACGGAAAACGGAGGTCAGAGTTAGCTCATCGAGGTATAACTCGTAGCCCGAAATTATTTTGCGCGAGGTCTCATACGAGAGAGTCATGATGTTGGCCAAGCCTAACAGTGTATGAAATTGCCGGTTCAAAACTATAGAAGTCATAGAAATACATAAATAGAAGAAATGCAAAACTAGAAATTATATATCGCTAGATGTCGTTTTGGACCCAGTGCACATCTCTGATGAAATAGATACCCGTCGCACTGGATCTGATACGATCGGCTGAGTTATCACCTTAACACGTGCGCCCGCTATGCACACCTACTTCTGTTAGCGCAGAATCGTCATCTAATATTTTCTCCAGTCTACCCAGTCTCGTGCAGCGGCTTCACATTAAAATTCCGGCAATTGCCAAGCCCGGACAGTCATCGTATGGAACTAATTACGCCCTCTTGTGCCAATTATAACAGGTTTGTAGCCAATGATTGCCATTCCTGGTGATGCTGACGCGGGGTTGAGGATAAGCTTACTGCGCTGACGCTGCTGACAACTTCTCAATGACTATAAGAACCTCGAAAGATCAATCTCCACGACTGATCTAATTCTGTAGAACACTTGTCGCATTGTCTTAATATCACCAAAATGGCAATCACTGATAAAATCCACCCGATTTACAGCCTCTGGTTCCTCTGGGTCGACCCCATCCTGACTCTCGTCGGGATGTATGTCAACTTTGTCGACCACGATCTCGCTATGCAGGCCTTCTTCATAAATTACCCACCAACAGACCACTTCCGCTGTTTCATCTACCAGATCGGCGGCATGGGCACGTCATACCTAATCATCCTCGTCGTACTACTACGCTACACGCACGACATCAACATCTGGAAGATAGTGCAGCTAGCTATCTTACCAGCTGACTTCACCATGCTCACGGCTATATACATCGGCATGCGCATCTCGGGTAATTTAGCGCTTGCGGATTGGCGCTCGGAAGATTGGTTTAGTATTGTTGTTACGGGTATCTGCACTGTTCTCAGAATCGCGTTTGTTCTGGGCGTTGGGGTCAGGGATACGAGGGGGAGAGCCAAGAGGGCTTAGTTCAGCCAAGAAGGCACAGCCGGTAGGGCTGAGGAGATGAGATTTTGGTGGCGGACGGGATGAGATGGCTAAATTCGTTTCGTGGGTTGGGTTAGCAAGCTCAAACTTGAGGCTCTGCTTGCGCCGCAAACTCACGATGACCTCAAGACGCCAGTCCCTGGATCGGAAGAGTTTTCCAGTGTCGTATCGTAATGTACAGAACCCCACTATTGACTGAATTTTCTCTCTGCTACTGTCTCATTCTTCCGCCGTGGAAAAATGGAATCAATGCTGTTTTCTGGTTTGATTACAAGTGGAGACTCGTTAATTCCTAAAGCGGTATAAATCCCAACTCTTCGATGCCCAAGCAGGAATTTCACGCGGATCCGCAGAGTTCATGACTCGATTTCTCTCCTGGCAATCGAGTGCAAATGTGATCACCACTTTGAGTTCTCTTAAACGTCTGCCTGATAATCCCTGCCATTGCAAAAATTGGGGTTTTGTTCTGTGGAGGAATTCGGCCCTTTACCCAGAATCGCGGGGGTCATAGCGCCCCCGTGATATCCTCGTTCTACCCAAATCGCGTTGTCTACCATGCGAAGAAGCTATACACAGGTCCGTTTCTTTCCGTCGTGTTGGAGATGGTGGAGTTTTTGTAGTCATCTGCTTGAGGCAACGGGCCGACAGTCGAAACGAGCAGAGTCGGTCATCCAAGGTTCTTACCCTGGACACGGAGACAGAGCGTGGTGAGCACGTCTCCGCATGTTTGTTCGCCATGGGGAAGTGTTAAGGTTGATTTGTGGGTTTGTGGTGCAATTGGACGGGGGACGTTGGGCGCGGTATTTTACGCGACTGCTGTTGATGATGCCGATTCTCCGGTAGCAAATCATAACATCTCACGACAAGAGGTCTAGATTGAGAAACAAAAGTTTAATTGACATTAGTTGTGTTACATTCTGGTGATTCGTAAGCTGTCAATTAAAGCCAAACATGAGATCGTTGGCTAGCGTAGGGTAGCTTTTTCACAGTGAACCATCGTCATGTTACTGATTGACAGCCAAGAGATGCGGCTGAATCATGGCGAGATCGCAAACGCTCTAGTGCTCGCTTCAGCGGCCGCTTTCATTCAATCAGTCTAGTCTACCACGAGATCCCATCTTGGCATGGGAATAGCAAAGCCTTCGACTTGGCATTGCCTTATGCCTTCTGTTTCCTTTCCATCTCCTGATACCTAACAAAAACTCACTTCGGCCATGCCACGCTAGGAGTACTTGTGCCAGCTTCTTCACGCCAACGTTCCAACGTTGGTCCCTCATTACGGAATGGCTTGTTTTCCCAGGTGGAGAGAAACAGGGCGACCGTCAACCGCTCCCGTGACGTAAAAGGCTTGCCATAGAACATTTCTAGAAAAGGAACATCATTCATCCGCGGCTAGTCTCATGTCGATCCCTCCCGGGACTTGAAAGAGTGGACATGCCAGTATGACCGCTGACGCGACTCATTGGTCTACCCACCGGACCGACACATTCAATGCGACCCTTGAAAGGCTTCTCGGCAATGATGGATGGTTCGATGAACCTGTAGGAGTAGAGATCATCCGAGTAAGCATCATGTCACTGGTGATGATCGCGCGGTGATCCCGCTCTAAATGCTTTCGATCCTACGTCGCCTACCAACCTACCTTATCGATACAGGAGACGCGTTATGGAACTCCACCCCATAATCGGCTCAGACGGCATCTTCTGATGGAGAACCAGCGGCGAATCTTTCGGTGCTACCGTCATGGGCACGCTCCGCATTAGTGTTATTCCCCATAACTTTGTGTCGTTGCATTTTGCGGTGCCCCATGGCGAAACAGACTACTCACATAAAGTCTCTCCAGACTTGTGGAATTGTGGGTTGCATATAAAAACCTGGGGTTTGCCGCGACAAGCAATTCTCTTTCACCAGCCTACAGGTGTCACTGACAACCTTTACTCCTCACTACTCATTATACAATTATAATTCTTTCGCCATGGGCAAGAGTCGACAGAACTCGACCACCACGGTCGATCGTGAGAAGGATGAGATCCAAAAAGCAATGGGCCATGAAAAAGCCGAGTTCGAAGCCCTTGAAGTAGCTCGTCATGGCGGTCGTGAGATCGACGAGCTCATTGACGACATGGAGCGCCAGCTTGATGAGTCTGGTGGTCTGAATAAGGGCTTCTTCCAGATCCAGTTCGCCAACCCCAAGCACTTTACCTGGCTCCTGGTAGCGTTTGCATCCATGGGTGGTCTCCTCTCCGGTCTTGACCAGTCTCTCATCAGCGGCGCGAACTTGTTCCTGCCCGACGACCTTGGTCTCACTGAGCATGAGAACAGTCTTGTCAATTCTGGTATGCCGCTTGGTGCTGTTGGTGGCGCGCTGCTTTTGTCGCCTGCAAACGAGTACTTTGGTCGAAAGGGCGCTATTATCATCTCTATTATTCTTTACACTATTGGTGCTGCCTTGGAAGCTGGTTCAATCAACTTTGGTAAGTCGTCTGCCTCCGCGCGATCATCATCACCGTGCTGACTATTCAGGTATGATTGTCTCATCGCGTGTCATTCTCGGTCTCGGAGTCGGTCTCGAAGGTGGTACAGTCCCTGTCTACGTCGCCGAAACCGTCGAGCGCCGAATTCGCGGTAACCTTGTCTCTCTGTACCAATTCAACATCGCCCTCGGTGAAGTCCTTGGCTACGCTGTCGGCGCAATCTTCCTTAACGTCCCCGGCAACTGGCGCTACATTCTGGGTTCATCCCTCCTCTTCTCAACCATCATGTTCTTCGGCATGCTCTTCCTCCCCGAGTCTCCCCGTTTCCTCATCCACCAGAAGCGTCACCTCGATGCATACAAGGTTTGGAAGCGCATTCGCGGTATTGAGGACCGTGAGTCTCGTGAGGAGTTCTACGTCATGAGTGCCTCTGTCATTTCAGAGGAGAATGCTGTCGCTGAGGGTGCCAAGAACCATCGCTTCCCTTGGATGGACTTCTTTACTGAGCCCCGTGCTCGTCGCGCTCTTGTCTACGCCAACATTATGATTCTTCTTGGTCAGCTTACTGGTGTCAACGCCATCATGTACTACATGTCTGTTCTTATGAACCAAATTGGCTTTGACAAGAAGGAATCCAACTACATGTCCCTTGTTGGTGGTGGATCTCTTCTCCTCGGCACTATTCCCGCTATCTTCCTCATGGAGAGGTTCGGTCGACGCTTCTGGGCCATCACTATGTTACCTGGATTCTTTATTGGACTGGTGTTGATTGGTGTCAGTTATCAGTTCGACGTCAAGACTCAGCTGCAGACTGTCGAGGGTCTTTACCTCTCCGGCCTCATCATTTATATGGGCTTCTTTGGTTCCTACGCCTGTCTGACCTGGGTCGTTCCTTCAGAGGTTTATCCCACCTACCTTCGAAGTTACGGAATGACTACATCTGATGCTCTTCTCTTCCTCGCCTCTTTCGTCGTCACCTACAACTTCTCCGCTATGCAGAATGCCATGGGCAGGACTGGTCTTGCTCTGGGCTTCTATGGCGGTATTGCGTTCATTGGTGAGATCTACCAGATCTTCTTCATGCCTGAGACCAAGAACAAGACTCTGGAAGAGATCGATGTTGTCTTCTCGCGACCTACCATGGATATTGTTAGAGAGAACTGGGCTGGTGTTAAGGAGACCACCCGCCTCCTACTCACTGGACATTGGCACAAGGTCTTTGTCGAGCAGGCTATGACAGATCCCAAGGATCAGGTCCAGGTCTCTCATGCTTAGATGATTACTATGATACTGGTGGTGGATGGGGTTGGTTATTTAACGTTGATGATACCAAGAGTAACTAGTTACTATTAATGACAACTGAATGCTCAACTATGCTAGTGTGCCTTCTGCGTGAAAAGTCTAAAGCCATGGGACGAGTTACAGTTCAAGAACCTGCCATGTAATCGAATTATGTTGATTCTCCTTAGGCTATTCTAAACTTATCCAACGTAGTTTAACCCCGATTAAATTGCCCTCGGTATCTCTAAATTATGTTAAACTTCTCTAAGTATGTCTGTCCTTTGTGATAGAAATTATCCCCTTTAGCCTGCGTCCAAATATCCATACCCCGAATCCATTACCACCGAATAATCATTTTAGCTTTCCTCTCCATCATACCTATAAACACCACGATTCTCAAGTTGCGTCTGGAACAAACTCTGTGGTTCAACTCGCTTCCCCGTCTCCAGCAAGGTAGCATTGCCCTTTGGATCGTTGCCCTGGTCTCCGCACCCAATGCACCAATTGATGCCGGTAGGCGGGGACTCGAACTCACAACGCCCATCTATGTTCCAACCAACGCCACCATTGATGGACCAACCGTGACCTGAACCCTTGGTGTTGCGGTTCACGAAGTATGTTGCTACTGAGGTATCTTCTACCAACAAGCCCTGAGCCCATCTCTGATGAGGGTATATAGTCTGAGAATCAGACTTGGTCTTGTGACGGAGGACAGCATTGGGACCAGGCGTCAACGACCCCGTGGCGACGGAAAAGCAGCGCGCAGAAGGGATACCAACTTGTTCACAGTCTTGAACAAGAACTTGTGAACCTTGGATCAAGATGTCAAAAGGAAGCGCACTTCCCGAGATATCTTTATCTCGGTTCATGGTAGTGTTCTGGATGGTGATGCGAGAGGCATCTTGGTCAATCTGAAAGAACTTGTTGAAGCCTTTCAGAGTGAGACCACTGACCCAACTGTCAACTGTCCAAGATGGGAAGCGGACGGCAGCAGCGTTGCATGTCTTGTCACTGAGAGAGGCCCCAGAGCAAGTGTCGGGTACCTCAATGGAGAGATCCTTGATACCCATCTCACTGTTGGTTTCAGGAGGGGTATAGACAATGAGCTCTGGCTGCAGATAGTCCAAGTCAAGATTGTCTGTCAAGGGTATCTTGAGGGTGATGTTGTTACCATAGACACCGCTGATCTGATTTGGCGTCATAAATCTTTTGTTCTCCTACATAAAGTTAGTACATACACAGTTACAAGCGAGGATGACTACATACCGGTATCCAGGTTTGGGATGCATCGTCTCGCACCAGACTGCTCATGCCATTGGCCTTGATCCACGATTCTGTGGCTATTCTAGAAACATAGACTAGTTGGTCCACTGCAAAGCCAGTGCTGTTGATGACCTTGATTGAAGAGGAGCCGATGGGAACATAATCATTGGTGATGTTTGACCTGAACCCGTACCTGGGCTTGACAGTATTGCTAGAACCAAGCGTGAAAACAGGTACAGATGGCTTCTCGCTCAATGACAGAACGGTTTTACCACCAGCAGACCCGGTGACGACAACGTTGCTAGAGAGGTTCAGGCCTGCAGTCATAGACCATTTACCAGGAGGCAGGATGACAGAGCCACCGCTTGAAGAAGCAATGCTATCAATAGCAGCTTGTATCGCCGGCCTCACATCAACGCTATTATTAAAAGAAACAGTGATGTTGGGGGCGGTGATGTTGGGTAGTATGATAGCAGAGTTATGATACCCAGCAAAGCTAAAGTCAGGGATCACATCCCCACGAGAACTCATGACTGT